GTTCAAAAATGTTAGTTTTTAAAAAGCATATTTTAATTGAGACAAAATTTATATAAGTCCAATGCCCAGACTTTAAGTGCACATTTTGATCTGTTTTGACAATTGCATACACCCACATAACTGCACATCAAGCCATCCCCCATCCTGAGTCAACCACTATTCTGGTGTCTTTCAGTATACATTAGTTTTGGCTGTTTTAGGACTTCACAGAAACGGAATCTTACCATTCATGTTCTTTTGTGTCTGGCTTATTTTGCTTAGCACAGGCTTTTAAAAAAATTCATCCATAATGTTGTATGGTTCAATTCATTTTATGGTTGAGTAGTATTCCACTGCACATATTTATGAGAATTTGTTTGATTCTCCTGCTACTGGATATATGGCTTGTTTTCAGATTGATACTCTTCAAATTAAAGATGCTATGAACATTCATGTACGATTCTTCATGTAAACATAGCTGTTGAATTGCTTAGCCATATGTTAAGTGTATGATTAACTTTCTGAGAAACTGCCAGATTGTTTTACATCTCACCAGCAATTTATAAGTTTAGTTTGATCCACAACTCTGCCAAGATTTGGTATTGTTAGTCTTTTTAATTTTAGTCATCCGCATAGTTGTGCAGTGCATTTTCCTGATACATGCATTATTCATGTCCCTATTATCCACTCATATATCTTCTTTTATGAAGGTTCTATTCAAATATTTTGCCCTTTTTATATTCAGTTGTTGATCCATTCCTTCACAATTGCACTATCTTAAAACATGTCTAAAATCAACTGGCCAATTGAATATGGCTCTATTTCAGGATTGTTTGACAGCTTTTTGGTAAATTTTCAAGGATTTTCTATGTCCCTGATCATATTGACTCTAAGCATAGATAGTTTTATTCCTTCCTTTTCAAGAGGGCAGTAGTGTTATTGCACTGGGTGAGATCTTTAGCACAGTGCTAAATTGAGATGATGAGAGAAGATCCCTGCTTTATTACCAATCTTGGGAAAAAAACATTCAGTCTTTCACCACGGCATATGGTATCTATAGGTTTTCCATGGATACCCTTTATCATGTTAAGAATGCTTCGTCTATTCCTATTTTGGTATTCCTATTTTTGAAAAGCCATTAGTGGGTGGTAAATTTTGCCAATTGCATTTTCCACATATACTGAGGTCGTGTGGTTTTCTTTATAAGTCTGTTAATATGGTGAATTGTATTATTTTATGAATGTGAAAACAATGTTGTATTCCCAGGATGAGTCCTACTTGATTATCAAGAATTATTATTTTTACATATTTCTGGATTCCATTTCCTAATATCTAGTAACGATTCTCACTTCTATGTTCATGAGAGATATTGGTCTAAGTTTTTAGATTTTTTTCTTTTAATGTCCTTGTCTAGTTTTGATACTGGGGTAATAATGCTGGCCTCATAAAATGAATTAGGACCTGTTCCCTATTCCTTTCTCTCTTAAGAGTTTGTGCAAGTATAGTATCATTTCTGCTTTAAATGTATGAGAGAATTCATTTGGCCCAGGAGTTTTCCTTGTGGTGAAGTTTATAATTGTAAATATATTTAGCCAACAAAGAGTAATTTAGGTTTTAAACTTCTTCCTTAATCAGTTTTGGTAATTGGTATCTTTCAAGGAATCTGTATGTGTAATATAATTGGCAAAGATGATTTCATATTTATATTTACTTACATAAGTTTAACAGGTTTATTGAGACATATATATAGAGAGCTTTCATTTTTATGTTGAAATCTCCTATTCCCTTCATTACTTCAATTTTCTATGAAATCTTTTAACATATTTATAATAGTTGTTCTGATGACCATCTGTTAGTTCCATTATTTCTGGATCTATTTCTACTAATTGATTTTTTCCTCAAGGTTATAGGTTATACATTCTTGCTTCTTCACATGTCTCATAATTTCTGAATGAATACTAGACATTAATGGTATGTTGTTGAGTTTCTGTACTATGTTTTTCCAGCAGGGGTTAATTCAGTTGTAAATCAGCAAGATCCTTTCAAGGATTGTTTCATATTCCCCTCTGCGCCTCCATTCAGATTACTTCAATGTTTCCTCAAATTCAATATATCCAAACTCAACTTATTTCTATCCACCACAAGTATTCTTTCAGTTACCTAATTCTTCTTAGTGATATTATTTTCCTATTGCTCAGTTTTGCAATATCTTTTGCTCATTGATTCTCCTCTTTCCTTCACATTAACACTTACTTAAATCCACTGGATAACACTGCTGATACACAGTGGTTATCTCTATTCCTACTTGTGGGAGAGTTACTGCATTAAGAGTCCCCAAATAGCCTCCTGTATTCACATCCTTTGTCCTTTAACTTTGTATTTCCTCCTACTCTGATTCATCACTTATTAATATGTTACTGAATCTCTGAGCCTTATTATAATGAACACTTTGGACTAACTATATCAATAGTCATTCTATCACCCTTAGTAAAGCAAACATGCTGAAAGGGCATAAAAAGGCATTTTCTATACTTCCTTGTTGGTGAAATCTGAATATGTTGTTGGTTCACTAAACAAATCCATTCACAAAAACATTTTAGTTGAAACTAAATCACATAGTGAGACAAATAAAGCAATGGGCATACATTTGGCTGTTGTACATCAAAACAGGATTTTGTTTTTCTGGACTCCAAGAAGTAGCAGCTTCTTGATTTAGCAGGAAGTTTCCTGGTCATGAATGCAAAGGTAGCAATTTTTTTGGCAACCTAATTCTGCTGTGTGGCTGTGAGAGTCCTTCATATAAATATAGCCTAGAGTCTCTTTCTTTAACCCTCCCAACAATTTCGGAGCTATTCATGAATCTTTTTCTACTTAAATTGGCTACAGTGTATTCTGTTGTCTACTATTAAGAAGGGTAATAGTTCCTCATCTTTAAACAATACAGTGTTTCCCCGAAAATAAGACCTACCTATAAAATAAGCCCTAGCAGGATTCCTAAGCATTTGAGTAATATAAGCCCTACCTCCAAACCTAGTGATGGGTGTGGCTACGTATCTGCACAACCCATGCATTTCATCGTGGAGCAGTAAGGAATACAAGCAGCCCTTCTCATTTGCCCCATGAGAGCTCTATTGCTTGACATAAGAGATTGGGGCCAATGGTTCTACAGGAAACAGAGTTGCAAGAAATTCAGGATGGAATTCGGGGTTTGGAGAGTTATGATGATGTTCCAGAAGAAGACGACTTAACTATATTTGAATAAATGTAGATTGTTGTACCATACTTAAAAAAAAACACATCGCCTAAAAATGAGCCCTAGGGTGTCTTCTTGAGGAAAAATAAATATAAGACCCTGTCTTATTTTCGGGGAAACACGGTACTAACATCTTGAAGAGTTGTAAAAGGATTGACTGTGATAGTCCACATAAAGCAACTTAACACATATACCTGCCAAAAAATAGTTGTGTTATTGTTATTCCTACTTTTCTTACTATTATTTTAAAGTAACTTAATAGTCTAAATGCCTGGTATGAATTATGGATTTAGCATATGTTCTTTCTACAATTTTGCTTAAGTTGTTTAAACACTCTAAGCTTTGGTTTCCTTATCTATAAACTAGGTCATTTAATCTATATAAACTATAAACAAATGTATAACAACTTCATGAGGCTATTGTGAAAATTAAATGAGAATATATACATACAATTTTCCTTTCTTATTGTTACTTTCTAAACAAATAATCTAATTTAATTAAACTCATTTTCTACATTGCTTCCTGTTGTTAAATGCTAAGATCTCACCTTGCTTCCTCAGAATCCTTGTCACACTTCTTGTTAAATAATATCCCAATGCCTGTACATTCTGTTATCCATTGCTTATTCAATTCAAATCCATTTCTCAAGGTCCTCCTTTTCCATAAATTATTTGTGGGGATTTGGAACCTACCATATCATGTTCCTTGATCTTGGAACTCCTACAAATAGCACCAAGCATTTTAACACTTTACTCTTTTTAAATTAGTCAATGTGGCTTATTTCTGTCTCTTTGAGATAAGTGACAATGACTTTCCCTTTTAATATCTAATAGACCTCTTAAGGGAGTTCAGTATTTAGTAGTCACTTGAAAAATTGCTGACTAGATGATATACCATTTCATACACTGAATTCAATTAGATTATATAATATTTTTAGAATATTTCATTAAATATAGAGAAATTAGATGTAAGTACTTGGTTAAAAGCCATTTAAAATTATATATGTATTTTTTAATTAAATTTCTTTCTACCAAAATATTTCTACATGTCTCTGATTTCCCTTAATTGTGCTTTTTAATTCTACCATAGAGATGGCAAGACTATTAAATGATCTGACAAAGTGAACATATGTAATAAACCCATGTCAACATTAAAATATGGAAATGATTTATGTTCCTTCTATACATTTTCAGGAGTGATATATAGACCTTTGTACAGATTAAAGGGCTTAGAACACTGGTTTTCAATCTTGGTGTAAACTGGAATCACCTAGAGTGTTTTAACAATATCAATACCTGTATGACAAACCCAGAGACCCCCTATTTAATTTAATTGGCATACTGCTTGGTAACAGGATACTGAAAAGTTAGCCAGATGATTCTCCTGAGCAATTAGGAATGAGAACCACTGGTTAGGGACTATACTCCATTTAGGATCCTCTCCAGTTCACTTTTCTCTCACTTCTTTGCTTTAGGAACATGATGCCTGGAGGGATTTAAGGCCTCATCTAGGTACTCTTTTGCTCTCTGTCACCAATGGCACCTTTGACACGTATATACAAGTAATAATAAGATGGTTTTATTTTGAAAATTATTTTCTACAAGTATCTTTCTGTACTTTTAGTAGGCAGTAATCGTACCCACATACATTAGAGATAAAAGTAATAACTAAAATAGCAGCTTTGCAAAAAGAGAGGGGAGGAAAAAGGAAAAGAAAAGCCTATAGCTACATTAACTATAAATGAGAGCTAGTTTTAAGTTACACGTACCTGATTGACAGCTCCCAGATCAACAGCAAAGCTATTTACTTCTGATAGAAGCAGGGGTATAATAGATTTTCTCAACAAGCTGCAATGTCCTAGGGTTACGAGATTACGAGAAACATAATGCTGCACCTGAAACTAAAGATAAAAATGAGTAAGTTTCTACTTTCCATCAAGTTAAAATGAATTTAATAGGCATTTTCTAAGACTTCACTATTGAGCTAAATGCTGAGGGGAATATAAAAAGTGTCAAAAAAATTCTGGGTCAGTCTCAAGCAAAAGTATAATATAGACAAATTATAATAATATAGACAAAGTTTTCTACAGTATTTAATATTTTTAAATGAGAGACAAGGTGCTAAATTGGAAGTTTTAGCTGAAATAGCAAAATATAATAGTTTAGGTGATAGACTATATACAGAATGAATAAAGGAGAGGATAAAAAAGATACTGAAGCTCCTACTTACTAGATGAATAGTAGATGACTGATAGACAGATAGATGGCTACAAACAAAAGGATGGGAGGAGAAGGTTTGAAGATGCATTTGGGGAGACTTACTGGTGCTCTATAAGTCCAACCTCCATGTTGGGGAAGGATGTGTAGGAGAAACTTCCCTATTTGCCACAAGTCACAAGTAAAGAGCTTCAGAGTGATGAGAAAAAATGTGAAGCACTCTGAATTTTCTACAGGCAACATAAGTACTAACCATTAAATAAATTTAAAAGGTCAGTGGGAGATAAAGTACATCCTATAGTTATTAGGAGAGAGGCCATTTGATTATTAATTATGTTAAGGTATGTATAACACATAGCTGGAATTTCACTAAATCTATGTTAAACATAGCTGGGAGAAAAAAAGGATCTGACAAGGATCTCAAAACACAGAAACAGTCATAAATTTGTCATCTGTATGAGTTTAAAATCATGCTGAGAAGACATAGCTTTAAATGCTAAATAAATAATGCTATGTGAAACTAGGAAATGTCACCTCTGTGTCCCTTAGGATGAACACTTATATGTCTCAAATTGATATTTTAATAATACATATTAATTTTTAAAGTTAATAATAAGAAAGAGAAGGGATTATAGACTTCAAGAGAAATGTCTATTATAAATCTGGACATGCATAATTAGCTCTTAATAATAGTACTGTAAATCAACTTACCAACTTAATGCTAAAACACATCAAGTTCTTACCAGAGTAAATCACAGATTTATTTATCATTATTTCTTTTTTTTAATTTCAGCATATTATGGGGGTTTGGCTAAGATTCGTCAAAACCTTCATAACTCCAGTACCATTTATTAGATTTCAGATTTTTACATTTTTATGTTTGTACCTAAAAAAGAGTGGATGCTTATCTAAGCTCTAAAAGACTTCTGTTGGGTATTTTACTGATGCTTTGTATACTTACCTCCTTTCTCAATATTTAATACTTTAGGGAATGACTTAAAGAAAAGTTTTGAGTAAAATAGTAGAAACTTTAATGAACATCAAATACTGGGAAGATTCACAGCAAATATGACATCTCCAAGACACATAGTAACCAATCTGTCCAAAGTAAAAATGAAGGAGAAAATTCTACAAGCAACAAGACAAAAGCAACAACTGACCTACAAAGGAAAACCCATAGGGTTAATGGCAGATTTCCCAGTGGAAACCTTACAAGCCAGCAGGGAGTGGGAAACCATCTTCAATCTTCTTAAACAGAACAACAGGCAACCTAGAATCTCATCTCCAGAAAAACTGTGTTTCACATGTGATGGAGAAATTAAGTCTTTTCCAGATAACTGAGGGAATCTGTCATGATCAAATTGTCCTGCAGGAAATACTTAGCACAGCATTATACAGGAATCAGCAGTGTAAAATGACCCACAAAAGCTAAAGCGCACAATTGTTATAAAACAATAGCAGAAGAGAAGAAACAAAGCAACAAGGTACTACCAAACATGAAGAACAGAACAGCATCCCATATATCAATTCTCTCTCTTAATGTTAACAGTTTAAATGTATCACTCAAAAAAGACAGGCTGGCTAAAGGGATTAAAAACACAACCCAAAATTTACTGTCTCCAGAAAACACATCTTAACCACAAGGATGCACACAGACTCAACGTGAAAGGATGGAAAAAAATATTACATGCAAATGGAAACCAAAAGAGAACACGCACAGCCATTTTTGTTTTAGATAAAATCAATAAAATTTTTTAAAAAGACAAAGAATGTCACTATGTAATGGTGAAGGGAGAAGTTCAACAAGATATAATGATCCTAAATATATACGCAACTAACATAGCAACTCTGAGATACATAAAGTAAATTTTACAAGAGCTAAGCAAAGAAATAAATAGCATCATAATTGCAGGAGACTTCAACATCCCACTGTCAGCTACACAAATCATCGAAACAGAAAATAAATAAACATTAGACCTAACCAGATCCTACCAAATAGAATAGCAGATACTTACAGAATATTCGATCCCCAAAATACTGAATATACATTGTTCTTATCAGCACATGGGACATTCTCCCAGTTTGATCATATGTTATGGCCACGCCACAAAACAGTCTTCAACAAATTCAAAAAAATTGAAATCATACGATATAAAAATAATAAATAAAAGAGACTTTAGAGAGTTGACATAAAACCATGACGGTTATTATGGGGTTAGGTTTACAGAGCCGAACATTACCTGAGTCAAATTTCCTAGCTCCACTATTTGTCAGTTTGTACTATCAACTTTCTTATCCTTTTATGTCTCAGTTTCCACATCAGTAAAATGGTGACTGTGATAGTATCTGCTTCATAGAGTTGTTATGTATATTAAGTTAGACAGTGAAAATGCCTAGTGACAGGCACCTAGTAAGTAATCAATAGGTGAAATGTTATAATTTAGGATGATAATATAAAAGCATTGAAGGTTATATAATATAAATTTAATTCACTGACCTTTGAAAAGTTAAATATCACAAAAAAATCTATTTTTCTAGAATACAATTGCTTTAGAAAATATTGCTGAAAATTTCATAATGAGCTTTTCCACAGTATGGCTATGAACTATCTCCCAACATGATTGACGTTCACACAAAGGCTATATGACCATAAATGTGGTTTAAAATTCTGTGAATATTAGTATAAAAATGGCTTCTATTTTTCCTTATATTTTAATTGACACTTGCCCTTTTGTAAATACAGTGGAACTTTTCAGAAAGGCCAGGACTGACAACAATATTATATGTGAGGCTATTGTTACTGAAACAGTAGAAGGACTCCCTCAACACCCATGCCAATTTTTTTCAATCACATCATCCTGTATTTGATTTAGAAGTGCAATATGGGGGAAGTGAAATAGGCAGGGTATACATTTTGCTGGTACATATTGTAGCAGAGGTGTCACAGTCATTGTTCGTCCTGCAACTGGGTTCAGAGGCTACCTAATTATGCAGGTTCTTAATCAGGGCATAAGCAGTATCTACCTTAAGTGGCCTGGCTTAGGGAGTTATTCCTGTAAACTCAGCATTCCCAAAGGTGCTTTTACCTATATGTTCACCTAGAGGATTCACAGGGCTTTGTGACATGTTAAAGTCCTGAAATATACAGGGTTTGAAATTCCTACCACGTGCCCAATTAATTTGTCTATATAAACTGTGCAGAAGTTAGAAGGATCTTGAAGAATGGCAATGAATTATCATAATTTTAATTAAGTGGTGTTTTGAACTGCACAGTGCTGTTATTCCAGATATAGTTACTTTCCTGGAAGGAGCAACACTGTCCCTGACAATTGTTATGTAGCTGTTGAACCAGAAGTTTTTTTTTGTTGTTGTTTTTTTTTACTATCCCAATAAACAAACAAAATGAAACAGTTTGCATTCACCTAGTAAACAGAAGTATACATTTTCTGTCATGTTTAAGATTCTGTCCACTTGCTGACTCTGTGTCACGATGTAGTTCACAAAGATTCTAACCATCAAAATGGTCCACAGGCTATCGTGTGGGAGTACTAGACTGATTCTATTGTGAAAATATAGCAGGTGTTTTGAAGACCCTGGTAAGATCCATGCATGAGAGAGAATAGAAGATGAAATCCAGAATTCAGGGGACTTTTATACTTGGGAAGTTTCTGCGTGTGACACATAGGAATACTCCCCTGAAAGTGAAAGACAAGTTGCTTTAATATGTATTTCCTATCATGAAGAAAAAGATATGATGTTGATAGGCCTTTGTGAATATTGGAGGCAAAATATATCCATTTGTTTTCCCACTTGGAAGCCTATATTTAGTAAATCATAAGGCTATAAACTTTGGCAAGGGCCCACAGTAGTATACAAAGATTTATAGCTGGTGTAAGTTGGAGATTAAGAAGCTCTGCTGCTTGATCTGATCAGTAATATGCAATGTCCTTGAAGCTGACCAGAATATTATATGGAGTCTGTGGCCAACCCTAGTAAGAAAATCACAAAGGAGGGTTTGAGTTTGGAACAGTCATACTTTCCTTGACAAATAAATATTATTCCTTATAGCAGGGAAAAAACCCTCTCTGCTTATGCTATTTGGTCCCATCACAGATTGAATGCCTGTCTGACTGTAGGACACCAAGTGAGTGTTTACCCAGAGCTATTCATTCGAACTAGGTGCTATCTAAAGACTGGTACATACTACAATATTCCATCATCAAGAAATCTTCGAATAGCTATGCTATATACAAAACTGGATCAAGTAAGAACTAAAAGCAGAAGTGTTGCTTGATCAGTTGGTACTTACAATTCCAACTGGAAGATAACTCTTTACAAGGTTGAGGTACTGTTCAAAATAGTAGGACATTTATATTTCAAACCAGTGGCTAATATATGATGTTCTTTCTCCCATATGAGATTCAGGCTGGGTGAATAAACTGTGCCTATAGAATATAGAGTATATTAACAACTGCAGAGGCTCCTCTAACAGCATGCATTATTTAACCTTATTGTCATGTTTTTAAGAAATAATTTGAAAAAATCTTACAAATCAAATTTTAGACTATGCAATAGTTGGAGAGACACCTAATGCCATGGGTAGCAGATTCAAGGTTCAAATGAATTATCTAAGCTATAATAATGAGTCCCAAATAAATTAAATGTAATAGAGACATATGTAAAG